TGTCATTCAAAGTGTGAGAGCGCTGAAACCTGAAAAATGGCCTGGGCAGGAAGGTGTAAAATTGCCCGGTATTGAATTGGTTAAATTTGAAAAGAAAAAAAAAAAAAAAGGAAGCCGATTGGTTTCTGTTCAGAACCAGATTTTGCACTCTCCAGTTTCAGTAAATCAAACCCATAAGGTCGGGTGATCTTTGAACATAATGTGCCATGCATCTGTGGGTACCAGTGTTTAGAACCACTTGGAAAGTATGTGCCAGCAGCTTTTTCAGCACCTTTATTTTTGATACGTGCTGAATAAAAAAAAAAGAAAAAAAGGATTGATATATACAAAAGTTTAACAGATAAATTTGTTTTATTTTTTTTTATCTGAAAATATAAACAAAAGATTGCATCTGAAAAAGGCAAACAATTTTAAAGTGAAACTCCCAGCAACCGGCAGGTGGGTAGGATTACAATCGTGGAACGATACAGAGAGAAAATTAGCCAGCCCCTGCGTAAGGTTGACATGCTAACCCATGAAGCGGTACCAAATTTTTTCGTCAAACAACCTTCCTTCAATTCAATGCTTTGGATTTCTTCCTTTCTTTATTTGTTTGTTTCTTTTTTTTTTTTTTACTCTTAGCATCAACTATTTTAAAAAATAAAAATTACAAGCTGCAGCTTACGGTTAGAGCGCAACTGAAAGCTGCACGTGCCCTAGCGGCTTCTCCCACCAACCTTCTCTGAAGAAGAGCAGCACGCCTATGGGCATCCCACTGCCCCGTTAGTCTATGGGGGCGCTCCATTCTCTCACTCCTTCTATTGGCTCCCCTTTCTTTCCCAATGCCTTTCTACACGGCCAGCTCTGGGAAAGCTCCCCCGGCACTCAAGATGAGGATGCCAAAGTGCGCCCCTCCCCCGAGCCCCTTCATTCGGGAAAACAAAAAGGCAGCAAATGCCATAAGTGCTCTCTTACACCCTGAGCCCCCGCTCACATCAAAACCAATTTCAAAATCAGGTGACCCGCTGACACCAATGCCTATGCAAATCGCACCAAAAGCTCTGCTGCGTTCACTACTTTAGAAGTCGGCGCGGCTCCGACAAAGCCGGAACCGCACCCATACGACCGCTCTAATAGCGGACAATAGGGTGCGACTTGGCCTACAGTTTTGCAAGTCGCAGGCCAAGTTGCACCTGACGTGACCGGGGTGTAAGGGGCATGCCAGCGTGTGCGTTCTCATAGCGCACCTATAGGACAGACCACTCGTTTCAATAGGCTTCCCTAGGTGAATAGATCGATTTTAAAACCACAGAGATACATAAATCAATCAAAGTGAGTTGAAAATAATATAGCAAAAAAACAAAACCAATGTACCTCGGACAAGGCCGATGACAGATCTGAGTACCGGCCCCCCGTTGCTGGTACCATGTGACCTGCTGTGACCAATCACAGCAGGTCACATGACAGTTGTACACCATGGATGGCTTCATGCATGCCATCCATTGTCTACTAGTGTCTAGCTGTGAATCGTCACAGCGATCACATGCACATGTCATGTGATGAGCCGTGGCCAGATCACAGCTGAGCACAAAAAAAAAAAAAAAAAAAAAAAAAAAAACAAACCCCTGAATGAATCGATGTCATTCAGGTAAATGCTTGCTTATAGCAAAGGAAGTCTTTGCTATAAGCAAATTGTGTAAGAAAAGAAAAAAAAATACTGATCACTTCCCCAAAGTAGTACAATGTTACTGTGGTAACATTGTACTACTTTGGTCCTAGGGAAATATGAAAAGAAAATCTTGAAGAAAAAGAAAAAAAATGTAATAAAAAATGAATAATAATAAAAAAAAAAGTAAAAAAAATGATATATATATTTTTTTTTTTTCCATACTGTCACCAGTCAGTGTCCCTGATCACCGCTATGCCAGTTATAGGATGACGCTGTACTGCACTGGTGACAGTATGTAAAAAAAAAAAAAAAAAAATTGTGACAATCATTTTTTTCATTTTCTGAAAAATTCGGACAACAAAAAATACAACTTCAAAAAACTCGCCATGCCTCTTATGAAATCCGTCGTACTGTCTACTTTACAAAAAGGGGTCATTTGGGGATATCTGTACTGTTCTGACATTCTTGGGCCTCAAGAAATTAGATTGGCTGTCACTACTTCAGGATTGATCAATATTCAGACCTATACCAGAGTTTGTGAACTCTATAACTTTCCTACAAACTAAAAAATACATCCTAGTTTGGGTTATTTTCACCAAAGACATGTAGAATACATCTCGGCCTAAATTTATGAAGAACCATTACGGATTTGCGAACTTTTATAACAGAAACAAAGAAAACCGTGTTTTGTTTTTAAATTTTCGGTCTTTTTTTGTTAATTTAGCAAAAAACAAAAACCCAAGCGATGATTAATTACCACCAAAAGAAAGCTCTAGTTGTGTGAATAAAATGATAAAATTTTAGTTTGGGTACAATGTTGTATGACCGCGCAATTGTCATTCAAAGTGTGAGAGCGCCCGAAACCTGAAAAATGGCCTGGGCAGGAAGGTGTAAAATTGCCCGGTATTGAATTGGTTAAATTTGAGAAGAAAAAAAAAAAAGGAAGCCGATTGGTTTCTGTTCAGAACCAGATTTTGCACTCTCCAGTTTCAGTAAATCAATCCCATAAGGTCGGGTGATCTTTGAACATAATGTGCCATGCATCTGTGGGTACCAGTGTTTAGAACCACTTGGAAAGTATGTGCCAGCAGCTTTTTCAGCACCTTTATTTTTGATACGTGCTGAATAAAAAAAAAAGAAAAAAAAAGGATTGATATATACAAAAGTTTAACAGATAAATTTGTTTTATTTTTTTTTATCTGAAAATAAACAAAAGATTGCATCTGAAAAAGGCAAACAATTTTAAATTGAAACTCCCAGCAAACAACTACATACAAAACATCTGTGAAAGTACTCAGTCAGTATGGCTAGTAGTAGTTGGTCACATTCATCTAGACTTGTTCTGTAACAGACATTTTGCAGCTTATCCAAGCCAAAAGAGAAAATGTCATTAATTTCTATTTTAAACTGAACATATTTTTTACAAGGTGAGGGTTTACATTCTTTAATCCAATCACCGTGGAATGTGTAAATGTTGATTGTCCATGTAAAGGATGGGATGTGTGAAAGTTACTGTTTTTACCGGTCTACACCCACAATGTCACAATTAAAGTTGTCTTAATCCCAAAAGCAAATATTATATTGCAGTTTACCAATTCTTAGATGTAATAGGTGTCTTGTTTATCTTTTTAAGGTTTCATTTCTACCTTGTGATCTCTTTATTCAACAGAACAAGCTGTTCTGCAGATGTAGCAGTTGGAGGGTTGAGACAAACCATTTACCACTGACAGGGGGGCTTACAATGATCAGCATTTATTAATTTATGTAAAATCCTTACACCAACAGTTTTTTTTTTTCTATTGGGGTAACTGCTTATAAATTGTTGAAGTTTGGCTTCAATTTGTTAGTGAATCTAAATCCGTGCACCTAACACTACCGTCCTCCATGACGGACAATGCTACTGCTGTCCAAAGATGGCCCTGTGCTCCTTCATCCAGAGTGGAAGCACTCTAATAGAGAAGATGTGTTACTGGCAATATCGCCAGGAAAAAAACAGAAAGGGGTGGGAGCCTAAAGGAAGCTAATACAGCCACCACATCTGATGATTAGTTGATGGGGAAATTGCATATTTCATAATTAATGCTGGTCTCACAACTATCAACACTGGTAAGCTGCAATATATTACATTTTTGGTTTTGGGTTTAATACCACTTTAAACACATTTAGCTACATAAACTGAGGAATTAACACACATTCAGAGTTCTTAACAATGAGAATGAGACTAGGTATCTAGAATAGGTTGGTTCCACAATTTCTACACCTCCCATCTTGTTTTTGGAAAATCAACATCTACACATTTCATGGTGATTAGATTAAAGTGTCAGTGTGCTACTTGTGTGGATATAAATGCTTGGGTCACTTACTGACACTCATTAGAACTGAAGTGGCTTGGAGAAGCTACAAAACACTTTCAACACTACAGAACGAATCCAGTTAATAGTGACTAGCTACTGCTAGCTAATGTACAAAGTTTGAATACATCCTGTACAAAACTTCGTTCAGGATATATTACTTCTGTTCAACCAGTCTTGTGATTTTGATATCTCTGTACTGCCAGTCAAGTGATACCCATGTCTCCTTGTTCAGCTTTGCGTTTTCCAGAATCACCTCTCTACGTCCAGCCTGCATGTTGATTTGCAATTCTCACATTTTTAATTTGCGGTCTCCTTCCTGGCTGAATGGCAGGTGAAGGCAAACAACAAAACTGGCTGAGCAGACTCAATCAGAGATATATGTATTTTAAAAGTGTATGCGGTTTGCCTGGATTTCTAATATAACTAAATGGGGGCAATATAACTGTCCCAGAAAACACTATTAGGAAAGCCAAAACATGCCGTACTTTTATCTTTCGGAGTATTTTTGACTGGCGCACATAGTAAAGAATCAGGATTCTGCAAACATTGGAAGTATTTAGCATACAGTTTGCTGTAGCTTGAAATGGGCCTGGCTGCCAGTTAATTTGAGGAAACTCAATGTCAGTAGCATACAACATTTTGCATTCTTGTACAGCTGTTTGCTGCCAATAAAGGAAGGAAGGCAAGGTTAGCCATAGTGCATATTAGTACTGCCTCCCTGTGGTGAGTGGAGGGATTAAGCAGTCTTTATACTGTGTGTCAGGAAAAGGTTTTGTCAGTTCTATGGTTTTCATATCTACAGAGGTGGTGAGCAGCTGGTACATCTTCAGCTGCTGTTGATATATATGTCCCAGCAGACCTTGACAGCTCAGCAGCTGACCTAATATACCCTTTGAATAGCACAGAATGATGGGACTTGTGGTTCCACAGATACTGAAGGTCTACGGATTGCCTATCGAGGATCTAGAATATGAACTGTTGTACACAAGGCAAAGCAATCACCACATGAGTCCGCCTTTGTAATTGAACTGTAGCTTCAGGAGGTACTTCAGGTTCACCTGGGCAATGTCATACACAATATATCTGAAAAGGCAAGTTAAGGTACAAATGCGTTCTGGTAGCAAAACTCCTCCTCAACCCATATCATGCTAGCAATTATTAAAGTACTGTATATTGCAAACTCAGTCACTGACATCTCATGCAGGCTTTAATATGTCCAGCTGAAACCTCAACAATCTCCCTCAAGAAATCTATGAAGATAAATTAATTCCACTTTTTCAGACTGCAGGAATATTGAGTTTTGTTTTAGGACAACTTTTCTAGTGGACAGATTACACAAGGAAAGCCAAACACCTGAAAGACAGCATGTGTAATGTACTTTGTGTATTCAGGGTTGCCAGACTGTCTCTGATGAGCTTCCTGAATGGGTGTCTGGCTGTTGATTAGCTTACTGGTAATTAGATCACTGTTTAATGAGGTTATGGTTAGCTGCTGTTAATTAGTTGTACTGATATTACTGTTTACAGTTTGCAGTGTTTAGGATCAGGTGATCAAGCTCTTACCTGAACCTGTGTGGTATAAATTCTGTGTGAATTGACAGTAAAGAATTCCAGTTGGGCCTAAGCTAGTGTAGTCTAGTTCTTGGGTGCAATGCCCAGCTAGAATACATTGTTCCTGTGTTCCAGCGGTGAGGACGCAGATGGAAGCACCCAGGCGGTCCGTCACAGGGATTTTACATGTTTTCAATCTAAAGGGTTGTGGGTAGGAATGATTATTCACTCCTTTTAAAAATAAGACATGTAGTGCTTATCTCCAGAGCTGTCTCCCTCAGAGGCCCTGCTCCACCACCACTTGCCCTTTAACAGACTTAATGACAGCCAGTGCCATTCAGTTCATTTTCTTTGAGCCCAGGCTGTTCTAGACACTTATGTCACCACATCAGTGTGCTCGCAGTACAAGAATTTCATACAGTGACCAAGTAATCCTAAATTAAGTTTAGTCTTTGTTATTGCTGTATCTAAAACCTTATACAGCGAGTGGATTTTACCCTTACTGGAGAACCTTGAACTATTTTTAAGGAAGTGCCAGGATTGAAAGAAGTGCAGAATATTTAGCATTGGTCGTGATGCTGCAGCTTGCTCCAAGAACAAGATCTGAGTGATCACATGACCACTGATTGCTCAGTTCTCTGTCGGTTCTGAGCAGACAGCAGTGACACTCACTTGTGAGCACAGTGCTCACTGAAGTGCCAGGAGCAGCTGGCCAAAGCTCTCCTTGGTGTGCTGAGAGGCTAAGTCAGATGCCTGTCAGGTATGTGTGGTGGATCCCGACATTATTGTCAGGATCCCTGCAGAGCCCAGACCAGCTCTGTAACGTTAGTTGAGAGTGGGCTTTATCTCGCCATCAACTGAATCTGGATCACAAGAGTCCAGAAATAAGTGCACTCCTGTGAAAAATGCTTTGGTCATACTTCTCCTATAATCTTGGACATTAAGCAAATATACAATGATCCCCTGAGGTGGTTTCTTGACTGCAGCTGGGTCCATTTACAGCCTTCCTCATTTTGCTGTGGGTGTCGCAATTTCTTTTTATACTCACAGTATGTTAATGCAGAAAGCAGCTCCTCTCTTAGCAGCTCTGTAGACTGTCTAGCACTTCTGCAGGGTGCAAAGGAAGCCCAGAAGTGTGCATGGAAATTACAAACAGAAAAAAAAAAAAAAAAAAAAAAAAAGTGTGCGCGTTGAAACATCCTCCCTCGATCAGCGCTGCAGGCTATGGCCTACAATGCTGATCAGTGTATTCTGATGATGAGGAACTATCCCTGCTGTCAGAATACAATAGCTCAGTGGAGAAGTTTCCCCTGTCCACTTTAAAATGTGTGGATCGGAGAATTAGGTCATTTTTTTTAGTTCAAGCTGCTGATTAAAAAAACAAAAGACTCATCTATAGGTTGCTTTAATAGCACTGAGTCTTCTATGAGCTGTAGGGAAGAGAATCTTGGGACAACAGCCTGCCCCTCCTTCCTCCATTGTGAAAAGCAAGTGCATAGATTACACTGCATGTAATGCAATTTGTGAATGGGGGAGATAATCTACTCATTCATCGGGCTCTTCTTCATTCACTACAAGCTACATGCAATGTAATCAATGCACAAGTTTTTCTCAATGAAGAAAGAAGGAGGTGGGCCGCTGTTGTATTCTTTTCACTGCAGCTCAAAGACAACTCAGAGCTAATTCACTTCTTTGGAAATGATTGAAGTCCTGCAGCAGGAAGAGGACCTGTCATCACTGCACAGAGTATTTCTACAGGATCCAACTGCCTGACAGATAAGGTACATACTTCACTACAGGTAAGCGACCTGACTGTAGCAATAGGAGCAAAAACTTTTTTCACTAAACTTTAGCTTTAAAAGTTTGCTTATTATAAATTAGATACATAGCAAGCAGATCATCACTTAACGTCCCATACATGTAGATTTGTCAACATGCACACAATTGGTGCAATAAACCATGTACCAGCAGTGAGAAAGGATACTCATTGTACAGTAGACTGGTGTCACTAATGTTGGTAGACATCCCTTTCCCCAGAGGAACGTCAACTCCATCAAGCTGTACAGTAGCAGAAGGATCAGGTGCAGTTCTGCCCAAGCCTACATAACAGAAGAAAAAGCAAACACATTAGCTAAAGTTTTATTCCAGTACAATTTATGGCCCTGTTCACACCATCGCATTAGAAAACGTTCACCTGATTTCTCTCAAAGCCTATAATTAGTCGTGCTAACATGCAACGGAATGTAGGATACATTTTCTGTGTGTATTACATGTGTCTTCTTCCTCTTCATTTCTTTACCATTTCCTGGGTTGTCTCTGTTTTTTTAAATAAGGACACGTGGCTTGAAAAATGCATTAATTAAATTCGACTTTTTGGTTTACCTGTAAAATCCTTTTCTTGGAGTACATCACAGGACACTGGGAAACTTTATACTCATACAGTCATGACTATTTAGATTAATGCTGTCACCTTCACATGAATAGACACTGGACACTAACACCAACAAGTTATTTAAAGGCATGGAAACACCTGTATACATATATCATGCCATTTCTGCTTGGAGTTCAGCTTTCACAGCTTCCACCTCTTCCTAAGGAATTCCTTAAAAAAAAAAGCACATTTTCTTCCCAGGAGTTCCAAGCCAATAAGAACCTCATAGGCGGTGAAAGGATTCTACCCCTGAAACAGTGGAAATACTAAATAAGGGAAGGGATTCAAAACTAGTCTGACCCTTTGGGGAGCAATTGCAGGGTGCCTTCCCTACCTCAAAGAGGGATTTCAGATCCCACCCCCCCTATTTTGTTTTGGCCAGTGTCCATTCATCTGAAGGTGGCAGCATAATCCAAGTTGTCAAGAATATTAGGTTCCCTGTGTCCTCTGATGTAGGATTCAGAAAACATGTTTTTAGTGTATTTTCATGTGTTGCCATTGACTAATGTAACACATTTTTACAAAAACACAAAGGATGCAGCAAGCAAGATTGTTAAAAAATGCAAAGTGCTAATGTGAAAAGCTTCATGATTACAACAGTAACTAGTTTTTCATAAACTTTTAGGATGTTGTGATGCTGCCTTATTGCACACAAAACATGATGCTGTGAACAGGCACTAACAGTTCTCAGCAGTAATTTCACAGGTTTGATGATATTACACATCTCTGTGCTGTTCTTAACCCTGTCAGGTCTCTAAGTAAAATCAAACTGGCACCCCCCTGCAATAGAAGAGGTTGTAAATTTATCTCTCTGCATGACAGTTTCCCCTACCATTCCACACCCCAGAGCCTCCATCAGTCTCTTCAAAGCTTCTGGATGTGTTGGATGCCTATGTCAAATGCCGCATACTGTGATTGCTTTCTCTGACCACTACATTACTATGGGACCCAGCAGTGATGCAGGGGTTAAAGGAGACATCACAGAGACTGTTGGGGAACACAAAAATCCAATACGTCCAGAAGACACTGACAGAGGCTGCAGTGCTGGATCAGAGAGAAGTTAGGCTGCCAGAGGGGTGTGTATACCATCTCCTCTATTGCAGGGGAGTTCTGCTTACGATGTTTTTTTTCTTCTCTTTAATGTGAAGAGAATAAATGCACACTATTTTTTTAATCTAACAAGTATTTGAAACAAAACGCTTTTGTGGCAGCTTGGAAAGTGTTTGATTCACCTGCAGTAAATGTTGGTGAATGTCACTGTTCTATATACCTGCTCCAAAGGTCTAGACTGCTTTAGTCCTAAATATATAAACGTACCTTTCACGCTATGTTTACCCTTAGGTAATTTTGTTACGTGAGAAGCAGCTTTCAACTCATACCTGAAATAAAAATGATGTATAGGTGAAGATATAGCATATATTTTATATACACAAACATAAAATAAAAAATATTATATTAATACACACACACAAGGCATAACATTATAACCAGCCACCATAACATGGCAAACCACTTAATATTTATTGATTAGGTCCCCTTTTGCCACCAAAACAGCCCTGGCCTATCGAGGCATGGACTCCACTAGACCACTGAAGGTTTGCTGTGCTATATTACATCAAGCAGTCAGTATCAGCCTCCACCAGCTTGCCTAATTCCCATAGTGCATCCTGGTGCCTCCTTGTAAGGGATGCACACACTCCCACACATGATGTAAAAGAAAATATGATTCATTAGACCAGGCCACCTTCTTCCATTGCTCCTGCTCCAGTTCTGATGCTCATGTGCCCATTGTAGGCACTTCTGGCTGTGGACACAGGTCAGCATGGGCACCTTGACCAGTCTATGACTACGCAGCCCCATATCCAACAAACTGCTAAGTAGGGATGCACAGAAATTTCAGTGGTCGAAACGGTTTGGCCGAAAAACACCCCTTTCGGCTGTTGGCCGAAATGGAAAAAAAAAAAAAAAAGAGCACCGATACAGGTGCCGAAAAACCCCGCATCTTGCCGTCCCTCGTTAGTTCTCAGCCTACCTGAGAAACCATCGATCCCGGCGCTGGGCACAGAGATGAGTGAAGGAAAGATGGCCGCCACTCATCTCTATGCCCTTGGAGGACCGGAGCAATGTCACTTCCCATTCCAGCCGGTTTTTTTTTTTTTAAAAGCACTAGATCAATGCTTTACATTGCAGAGGAGAGATGTGGGGTCTTATTGACCCCAAAGCTCTCCATAAAGAGAACCTGTCAGTAATTATTTCTAACACAAGGGATGCATGCATTTCTTGTGATAATAAAAGTGATTACATTTTTTTTTTTTTAAAGGGACAGTGCAAAAGTTTAACATGCCCCCGTGCTCACATATAGTGGTGAACGCATATGTAGGCCATGCCCACATATGTAAACTATGTTCAAACCATACACGTGTGGTATTGCCACGAACGTCAGAGCAAGAGCAATAATTCTAGCACTAGACAACCTCCTGTAACTTTACACTGCTAACCTGTAGAAATTTTTAAAGCATCACCTATGGAGATTTTTAAAAATACCGCAGTGTCACGCCATTCCACGAGCATGCGCAATTTTAAAGCATGACATGTTGGGTATCTATTTACGCGCCGTAACATCCTCTTTCATATTTCACAAAAAAATAGGGGTATAGATGTTTTGTTTTTTTTTAAATAAAAGTATATTCTTTCCAAAAAAAAATATATTCATTTTTTTATAAACTGCAAATTTCAGTTTCGATTAAGTGCATTTTGTATTTTCGGTACCAGAATTTTCATTTCGGTGCACCAGTACTGCGAAGCACTGTGTGTTCTGACACCTATCGAAACCAGCATTTTTTTCAGCAATTTGAGCTACTTTAGCTCATCTATTGGATCGGACTACACGGGCCAGCTTTCGCTCCCCACGTGCACTAATGAGGCTTAGCACCCTATCACCGGTTCAACGGTTTTCCTTCCTTGGACCACTTTTTTTTTTGTAAAATTCTGTTATATTTTAACAGTTATAAAACAATACAAAAAAAAACCCTGCCAATGGCGGCATTACAAAACAGTGAAATCAATGCCTTAACCACTTGCCCTCCTGAGGATTTACCCCCCTTCCTGACCAGGCCATTTTTGGATTACGGCGCTGCGTTAATTTAACTGACAATTGCGCAGTCATGCAACGCTGCACCCAAATGAAATTTAAATCCTTTTTCCCCCACAAATTGAACTTTCTTTTGGTGGTATTTGATTGCCTGTGCGGTTTTTTATTCTTTCTGCTATAAAAAATAAAAAAAATGGCAATTGACAGAAAAAAAAAAAAGAAATTTCGGACTTTTTGCTATTAAACATGTTCAGTAAAATAAAAATTTAAAAACGAATTTAGTCAAATTTAGGCCAAAATGTATTCTGCTACATGTTTTTGCTAGAAAAAAAAAAAAAAAAAAACCCCAATACATGTAAATTAATTGGTTTACGTGAAAGTTATATACAAATGGTGGTATAAATACTGAAATTTTTTATCTTATTTTTACTAGTAATGGTGGCAATCAGCGACTTCTAGTGGGACTGAGGCGGGCATTCTGACACTGTGGGGAACTGACGGTGTCACCGACATCCCCAGTGACACTAATAAAATGATCAATGCAAAGGGAAAAAAAAAAAAAAAAAAAAGCACTGACACTGTACTAATGGCAGTGCAGTGAGAAGGGAGGGGTTAAAATGAGGGGCGATCAAAGGGTGAAACTGTGTGCTGTTGCACTATAAGCTGCATCCATGTGCTTCACTGTAAATCACACACTGCTTTGGATGGCTGTGCTGTGCACAGCCATTCAAAGCAGTGTGCACAAGCTGACAGTGAGAACTGTTTTGTTTACAAACAGTTCTCCTTCCCGTCGGAGATGCTCGGCAATCAACGGACGACTGCGAGTAATCCCCAAGTGACTGGGAGCAATCCCCGGCTGGGACCCGGTGAGTGACAGCCGCCCCCTACCTGGAAAAGCAAAATCACGTATATATACACATGATTTTGCGCACCAGTGCCACCCTGTATCAGTATATTTGCTATACGGCAGTTGGGAAGTGGTTAAAACCGGTAACTAAACAAACATTGCCCCACCCAACATGCACAGCTAGGGTCACCAGAAGGCGAACAGATATACCCGGTGAGGTGCAACCCACAGTAGGATACACATGGTCAAGCGAAGTGATAGCCCAGGACTCCACCCCCCCCCGCCCCCAAGAAAGATAGAAATGTACAGAATTTAACCCATACAACACAATCATGATCACATCATTACATAAACCCCCAAAGACCTGGATACATCTATTGGATGGAACAGTTTGCCCCATTAAAACTCCTGAGTGACAATGCGTACAGTGACAGCTTACGCACCCAGTAAATATAATCATAGTCTACACAGACTACTACAAGACTCTTCCTTGGACCACTTTTAGTAGGTCCTGACCACTGGAGGCCAGGCACATTCCTCAAGAGCTGCAGTTCTAAAGTTGCAGTGACCTAGTTTGGCCCAATCTGGCCCTTGTCAAATTTGTTCAAATCCTTACGCTTGCCCTTTTTCTGCTTGTCGTCAATGTTTTTATATGTTAAAATACATTAAAGAAACCAAGTTTTGGAACACTACCGTGCTATCCTTTGTAGACAACACTTGGCCCTTTGAATGTAATGGATATATGAAAATTGCGCTATAACCCTGGTTGTGTCTCTAAGGATCCATTCACACTATGTGCAGTCACTTGTGTTTTTCCTCACGAATAAACATTATTGCAAAATTCACACCAGCATGTGGCGTTTCTCTGTATTCCAGAGCTGTGCAATAATATGCTATGATAATATCGTACCTCTCTGAACGGCCCTGCGTGGCCCGAATTGACTGCAGCCTGGCCACTAAACTGCTCCGGTTTAGTGTGTGGGCAAGTGTGAACAAGCCCCTAAGATATGAAACCGCAAATAGCCTGCATTAGAAGAGGAAGTGATCTCACCTCTCCAGTGGTCTGTTTGTCTTACTTCCTTTCTGCATCAGTCTTTTTCAGCGTTCAATAATTCTGGGAGAATTGGATGCCCCTATCCCTTGCCTTGTGGCAGTTTGATCCTGCAACGCTTATATCACTGGTAAGTTCTGTATTGATGTTAGGATCAGTGAATGGTTGTTAAATGCTAAAAAGGGTCTAGAGAGGCTGCAACCACAGATGGCAGGTAGGACACATGTGCTTCTAGAAGAGTGAATTTACTACCTGTTCTACTTTTATACTTGTACACCTGACAGGGACTCTTTATAGCGGACTAAGGTCCCGCTGCCAAAAACTGCAACCAGACAGGCTTTTTATTGCAGAAGGGACATGCCATGGCTCTTCTGCAATAAAAGAAAACCTACCTGTTTGCAGTCTACAATGTGCTCTGCAAACACAGCTCAATTTACATTGCGGCACAGTGCCTGTGTGCGGGGAAGACTGCACTCCTGTGCATGTGCAGGACCACTAAAGGAAAGGCAAGTTTAGCTCTGCTTTAAGTGCTGTATCAAAAATAAATGTAAAATATACCTGAAAATTACTGAAAAAAAATTAGAAAACAGGGATTTTAAAATTTCGGGTGAAAAAAATATCTGTGGGGCTACAAAATGCAGGATGTCTCTCACTGCAAAGGTAGTAATGTTCACAACCAATAAAACAACAGCTATACCAAAGTGAAAGATACCGTACTAATAGCAAAAACCTTCAATTTTGTAAGTTTTAATCAGCTTATTTACATACATATTCATAGACCTCTAAACAAGGGAAAGCAATTGATGTTTACTTACATGTTTCCAAGAGCGACTTCTCCCAGTAGGATCAAACCTGTCGGGTTACTTGGCGTTGTTTGACAGTAGTTTGCACTTTTAGAAACCATGTCGGCAAAATAAATACCTTTACCAAACATGTAACCAGTCTACAACAGAATAAGAAATGTGGAAATCAATACTCAACTAATGACTAAAAACGATCCTAGCAGTTAAGGAACTCTGTCTTTGGACTCTAGAGCTGTTTGGATCAAAAGTACAACCTACTCACAAATTTGCATTTCTTTAACTGGCAGGGCAAATATAAAATCCACATGTGAAAATAAAGAGTAGATCCAGAGATGGGTTGCCGATTGTGTATCTAAACCCTGGAACTAATCCCTTCCTTGGGAAAAAAAAAAAAAAAGTTCTTGCCCCATCCCTCCTGAAAGTCTCCATCAGTCACTGAGGCCACTAATCTCATAAGGGCCGACAGAAGGAGCAAGAGGCAAGGTTCCAGCTTTACCTTTTACCAGAAGTAAAGACTTGCTTACAATTTAAGCTGCCTATACCAATCAGCCATAACATTATGACCACCCACTTAATATTGAGTAGGTTTCCCTGGTGCATGTCCACCCAGATTTGACATTTACAAAGCTCTACTTCACAACCACCCTGTCTGGCAGAGTAGGAGAACACTTTATCTCTGCTGCAGTTCAATAACAGTTCTTGTCCCTCCCTCAGCCTGTGACTGGATCATGAAGGAGAAACAGGATCATGAAGGCTTCTCCCTCTCCCAGTCTGAGCTCTGTTGTTAGGGGGATTACAATGTACTTTACACTGCTTGTATTTAGTGATGTTTTATTGAACACAGGGCTGTAAAAACATGTGTCTTTTGTATCAGAGTAGAGTTTTGGATTTAATACATGAAAAATAATTTATCACTATACATAAAATAATGATGTAGGTTACTATCGCTGGCTTCCTCAAATACTAATTTCTGACCATTTCTTTGGCTTTAACAATATGAATCACTGACCTGAAAAGTATGTAGATAGGGAAAGTCGAAGAAAAGATAGAAACCCTTAGAGGCATACATATTTCCGTGATGGTAATTTAAAAGAACAGAAATCAAAGGGAAAGTGTAATAGCAAGACAGAAGTCTCAGTAGTTTCCTTTACCTCTGGTCTATCCTGGGTTTACTGGATAGAAGCTTTGCAGCATTTTGTGCCCAACACTATATTATCCATTTCCCATCCCTTACAACGCACAAAGAAGGTACGAGGGGTATACTCACAACAGGTGCTTCAGGAGGAGCAATACGCAGACCTTGAGACAAAATTCCAGCAAAGTTTGTGGTTCGTGATCCGTGCCAGAGCAGCTGACGGTTGTGTAACTGCTTGAATGGCTTATACCTCTGTCTCTCCCCTTCTCTTTCAATCTTGAAAATCTGTTAAAAGTTTTAAAGAAGGTTTACACGTTGCCCCTCTAATACGTGTCACTGCCAGAAGAGAAAAATGGTAAGCAAGCATTACTGTCAAACTGTTAAATATTTAATTGCAACCCTAAACAAAACAAAAAAAAATGTTTTAAACACGGTTAGCTGCTATATTCCACTTCTTCTCAGTTGAAACTTTGCCTGTCCATAAATATATACTGGTTCACTGCTTGCTGACTCTGCTTTCCAGTTTCAGGGTGGCTCCTTGGCTTTGCAGGGCCTAATGGAACCCGGTCATAATCACTCTTTTGTGCACAATCCTAGAAGCGGATTACAGGCTGATGTGATGACACTGCCTATGCCAACATACAAACCCTGCTCTTCCTCTAAGGGTGATTGAAAGTGATTGGCACAAGGCAAGTGTACACAATGAATATATGAATTGTGGGGACATGCAGTCTCGAGGCGGAGGATCAGATTCTATGGCAGTATGGCTTACTCTCCCTGACGTCTAGGAAGTGGAAAAGGAGAAGCCAGAAACAGTGTTTATAAATGAATGAAGTTGCATTCCTGGACTTTTTTTTTTAAGCAAACATGTATTGTCTTTGTGCTTACTCAGTTAAAAAAACTTCTGAGGCTCTAGTGCTACTTTAAAACCACTTACATCATGGATCTCAAGTTCATAGGCGTTGTGTGTCTCAGCATGTGTGTTCTTAACATACTGAGTGATTATCTTGGCTTCTTCAGAGTCCTTATCTACAACCTGTAATAAAAGATAAAAACTGAAAATCAAATCTAAAAGCTGGCCATACATGGTTCAGCATTTTTATTTTCATTCAGCCCACTATCTGAATGAAAAAAACCTGAACTGTTTTCTCCACACAGTTGAGGTGGATGGAAGAACATTTCACATCAAGCAGTGTATGCTGCCACATGTATTTAAAATTCTGTTTAATTGTAAAATATGTTAAAGATTCTTTCAATAATAGTCAATGTTCTGGACTAGTCAGGTTTCCTTACCTTAATATCAGTCTTAATTTTCTCATACTTCACATCAATAGGATCCTTCTCCGAGTCATCTGTGCCACCCCTCAGAAGACTGTAAGCAACTTCTATATCTAGCAGATTATCCAGCATCTGCACCTTTGCCTGAAACCCAGAAAAAGATGTTTACCTAATGTAAACTCAGCATTCCAGAAATAATATCTTAACCAAGGGTATGGATATAACTTTGTTACAGATTATGATCAATCATCAATAAGGCTACTCAATCTGTTCACAGACCTGGATGTATTCCACATTATCCAGGAGAGGGGGCTTCTTCATTCCAAAATCATGAGTATTAATGTATAGAAACGATTGGACAAATCCAGCAAACGAGCTTCAGGAGCACTGTCAGATACAGCCTAGAACACAACAGAAATTGTTAAAACTGCGGCTTATAAATTCAGATCATGTCAGGTAAACATTCAACATTGCGACTCACCTGCTGCACCTCATTCAGGATAGAGTATGCACTTTGAATCTGTCGCTTGCTAAGCTTGCCCAAAGGCATCTTCTGCAGATCAATCTACAAATCAAAATAGTAACACATTACAGTATATCAAAAGCTAAGAGACATTTTAGTTCCTGGATGTTGTTTTTAATTTGTACTAAAACACACATTCCCAGGTCCGAATTTTAAAAAGGTGTACAAATGCCTCCAGAAACCCCCTTCTTTTTTCCAAGCTTCTGTAGTGGGGTTGTCATTTGGCAGGCACAAATAATACATTGTGTTCAGGAGCCAACAAGCTACTTGAGGAGCGCCCCCTGCCACAGTATCGCCTAAGACCCCCCCCAGAGTCTCCTGTGTCCCCCCTCACACAGTGCCTGCTAAACCTCCCACAGAGTCTCCTATGTCCCCCCCCTCCCAGAGTCCCACAGTGTCTACTAAACCCCCCCAGTGTGTCATGTCCCCTTCATATCAGACACACAGGTAGCACTGCCTACCTGTCAGCATGTGTATAGCAGAGCGTAGATCAGAAGACAACACAGTGCTGGGTGGAAGGCGGGAGCAGGGGCTGCCAAGCTGGTGATTGGTTGTTAGGACAGCCTAGCAACCAATGAGCAGCTTCCACCCCAATCCCGCCCTCCATCCAGCACTATGCTGCCTCCTGCTCTGTCTGTAACATGAGAGTGGCAGAGGCTGGGGGGAGGCAGAACCACTGTCACGATTGACCTGTCGGCTCCCTGCGGTCGGCCGCAATCAAAGGGTTGATGACCCCCGATTTAGAGTATACATTTATCAAACTCCATTTAATTTTAGTGCATACAAAATGTAAACCAAGTTTTTTGGTAAAACATTAATGTGAGATTGTCTCAAGTATTTCAGTACTAATCATCTCAAGCCTTAAAATTGCACACACTCATGATAGTGAAACTTTGATACTGAAAATTGTCCATAGGTGACGTGATGAAAGCCTTTACAAGTTAACAGTATAGAGTTAAACAAAATGACAAGCCTAGATTTCCTGCTTCCACTTCAACATTTTTTCCCATTATCTCTTATTTTCTTAACTTTATTTGCTGTCATACAGGGGGTTGGATAGTCGACCCATACTGAGCCCCACCCTCCCTTCCCAACGTGACAGCATAGTAGAGATGACAGGTTCTCTTTAACTACTTTACAATAGTGCTATAGCCGAAAGACGGCTACAGTGCGGTTGGTCAGTTCTTGGAGGGCGTCATGTAAATACAGTTGCTGGTTATCGGCAGCACTTTTTGCTGTCACAGCATAAGTACTGCTGATAACCGGCAAATGTAACAGAGCAGATCTGCACTGATAATCAGGACACTGATTGTCAGTGCCGCCCATCAGTGCCCATCATTGCTGCATATCAGTGCCTCCTCATCAATGCCCACCAGTGCCACCTTAACAGTGCAGCCTATCGGCGCCCATCAGTGCTGCCTCATCAACGCACATCAATGAGTAAGAAAAATTACCTGTTTGCAAAGTTTACAAAAGAAAAACTTTTTTCTTCAAACTTTTTGCTCTTTTTTGTTTATAGTGCAAAAAATAAAAACCCCAGTGGCGAATAAATACCACAAAAAGAAAGTTCTATTTGTGTGAAAAAAAAAAAAAAATTCACATGGGTACAGTGTTGCATGACTGCGCAATTGTCATTCAAAGTGCAACAGTGCTGAAAGCTGAAAATTGGCCTGGGCAGGAAGGGAGTAAAAGTGCCCAGTAGGCTAGTGGTTAATGAGACATCAGGGGTCTAAAAGACCTTTGTTACCTATGGGCCCCACTGAAGCAGATCTAGCACAAATCATGCTTGATTAGCTTCTGCTCCGGCCACCTGCTGGGAAGTGGAAGTGAATCTCTTCCAATAGAAAGCCAACTTGACAGTAGTAAACACAGTCCTGGCTGCTACAACAGCTGGCAGGTACCTAAAAACCTTTGCTAGCTCTAACAGTTTATAAAGCATGCTAGTGGACAAGTGGTTAGCTATACTAATTCAGTACACAAATTTATCAGCACTAAGCTACTGTAATATGCTACTGGGGATTGAGAAGTTAAGATCCGGATATATTCAGCAAATAAGTTGCTGTCATTAGGGTAACAATTAACACCTATACCAATACTTAGTGAACTGAAAAAGGATCTGCAAAAATCCTTGCAATGCTAAACTGATGGCATTTTTTTTTCTTTCACGCAAACAAACTACACCTTATGGATAAACAGAACCTACCTCAAACTCCACCATAGCTTTCTTCATGCTCTCCACATCAAATATCATCTTTATGAGTTCTTGCACCGGTTTTGCAAGTTTGGACTTTGTTCCAGCTCCAGCCGATAGCTTTTTCACCACATCCTCCTCCTGACAGACAAAAAAAGGGATGAAGAAACTGCCGATTAACAACACAAATCAACTCAATTTCGTGTTCGTGATCTTACTACGTACTGTATTATGGATAGTTTTCAGACTATTGGTTTGATGTTTTCATGCCCATAGGTCACTGGAGTCTACATGTCCAGACCAAAAGTTAGCCTCCTCAGTATGAGTCAGTTAACTTTACTATACGATAATTATCTTGCTTAAATATCTTTACATTTAATTGATTTAAGGGTGTGTTTGTGTATGTAAATATTCCAAACACCCCTTCATATTATCCTAGGTGTCCATGCGCACAGACTTTTAGAAGCTTTTAATGACAGGGGCTTTTAAGAGCTGTAGCAAAACCCCACTGCCAGTGCGTCCAGGAGCAGCAGTGTTTTGGCAGAAAAAATGCTTGATGCGTCTAAATGCGTGTTAACGCTAGGTGCGTTTATAGCACTTGAGCGTTCATTTCATTCCAATGGCCAGAAAACATTATTATTCTGGCCAATGAAATTAACGCCCAAGCGCATGACGCCTGTAAACGTGCCTAAAAGCTTGTAAACACGATTGACACCTTTACAAGCATCAGGCATTTTTTTCTGACAAAAATGCTGCAGCCAAGAGGAGGAGTGTGTTTAAAACGCCGTGTGCATGAGGCCTAAAACAGTGCCACCTATAGATTACAATGGCCTCTGCCAGCTTACTTATAATTGCGACGTTATAATGATCACATGATTTGAACCATTCTGAACAGTTCCCAATCATAAGTGAAGACTGACAGCGACAGCTAGGTTTGGCAGCTATGATAGCTGTTTAAAGGATGACATTTAATAAAGTATCTCCAGTACAGACACTGTACTAAGGAGCACGTTTATGCAGATTTTGGGTAGAAGGGGGTTAAACAATTGTTAGCGTATTGTTTAATTAGTCAAACATGCAGCAGATCTGACTATCTATAGAAAATATTTCTGCAGCAATGTACTATAGAGGGCGGTCTCTCTCTAAATGAAAATTCATGAAATATACAGTTTTATAAACAAAGTCAATAGACTGCTGAAAGGTGGTTTCCACTTACTAATAAAGTATGCTACGCCCCAAATAATTAGTAATACAAGGACATCTTTCTAGGTAAAGCACCCCTCATTTAAAGAAGGGAAAAGAATCTGGCAACTAAGCAGCGAAGACTCTATTTAAGGAGCAGATCAGATACTAGTGGTGCACCGAAATGAAAATTCTTGGACAGAAATCGAAAATTCAGGATGCATCTGGCTGAAAACAAAAACAGACAGATTTAAAAAAGTAATTTTTTTTTTTAATATAGAATTGTATCATATTCGACTTTTTAATTAATATCATGAATATGAATTTGTTTTCAGCATCTTTTTGACCAATAGGCTGCTTCCACACCGAGTAGTTCTTACAGCGCTTTTGCATTAAAAAAAGGCACAAGAAAAGCTCAAGAAACATGTATCCCTTTAAGTTCAATGTGCGTCTTCACACTGGTCTGTTGTTCTTCCCTTGCGGTGTTATAAATCCTCCTTGCTGCATTATTGGTGAGAAGGAAAAAAAAAAAAAAAAAAAAAAAAAAAAAAAAAAAAACAAGGGACCTTCCCATTGAGTCCTGGTTCACATCTATAATTTTTTGAGCTGCTGTGTTTTTGGACTTTTTAAAACGCAAAATGTTGCATTTTTGGTTCAATAGACTTCAAAGGAAATGCTGCAGAAAACGCATGTCATTCGGGTTTGCCCCATTTTTTGCTTTCATTAGCAAAATGCTTAAAAAACACGGCAAAAATGTATGTGCAAATATGGACAAAACGCAAACTGCAGGCCGGAAATGCATTCAAAATGGATCAAAATACAGGTTTTGCATGTTTAATCTGCCCAGCAACAAAGTGGCCAAAAAAAACTCATTCAAAAGTGTGTGTGCAAAAATGCAAAATGCACTGAAAAAGCACTGCGAAATGGGCAACCCGCAAAGTGCACTGGTGTGAAATGCATTTAGAACACATTAAAAAAAAAAAAGCATGTAAAACACGTTGCCTTTTTGATGCATTTTGAATCTGCACAGCAACAAGTTGGGAGGAAACAAAAACGCACCAAAAAAGTGTTAAAAAATCTGCATGCAAAAAACGCACAAAACAATCTGCATTGGTGTGAACCAGGACTGAAGTGCATTAAAACCGTATAAATGCACGTGTTGCGTTTTTTATGTGTTTTTTTAATTTGCCCAGCAACAAGTTAGCCAAAAAAAAAAATTCAGTAAACGCAAAACATCAAACATGTAAAAAATGTGTGTGCAAAAACGCAAAATGCATTGGTGTGAGCCAGGCCTGAAAAGCATTAAAAACCCATAAAAAATGCACACATGCTTTTTTTTTTTTAAATTACATGACCTATGAAAAAAGCAAACCTGGTAAAATCATGGCAAAACGCATTAAAATTACTGTAAAACTGCGCATTTGCGGAGGCCATTATTGGCACCTTTTTTCCTATCGGCAGAATGCCGATAACACGGTTTTTGGCTGATATTTCGGTTCATCCCTTTCAGATACTTAAATATTCTGGACATTGCAATGTTTACACTACTCTATTCTGCATTGTTAATTGATTCTAAGGCCCCTTTCAGACAGGGCGGATCCGTGAGGGTGATCTGCCTGTTCATCGGAGATCTCTCCGCTGATACTCGCTGAGCAGGCGGATGACAGGTCTTTGTTCGCACACAGACACTGCCCGCTGATTTCAATGGGACAGTTGGATGGAAACGGACCACCTGCCTGTTTCCACCCGATTGTCATCCAATCCGATCTGCTGGACGGATGGGGAACAGATCCCCATCAGTCTGTTTTTGGCGTACAGGATCAGATGGCGGTGCGTGTCCGCTGACACCAATCGGGACCAATCGGGTCCACCTGAAAAACAGACTCCATCGGTCCGCTCCTGTGAAAGGGGCCTAAAGACGGCAATCAGCTTTCTATGGAGGTACCTGCTACTCCGTGTATCCATTCACACAGAGTTGTGGCACGGCCCGCCCCCTCTCTCTTCTCATTAGCTCACTGGCTGTGATTGACAGTAGAAGCCAATGGCTTCTGATTTTGTCTCAGCGAGACTCCGGTGCACATTGCAGGATCAAGAAGGGGCTTAGGTGAGTATTAGGGGGGAGCTGCATGGAGAAGGATTTTTATTGTATGAAGGTAGGAACCCTTGAGCATGTACAACCACTTTAAAGCTGTAAGCTTTATAAATAGTGAAGTGGTTTGGACATAAGACCGTGCTGCTGCCCCTTGATTCATAAATCTTCACATCTAGGTCTTTAGACTTGCTGGTGTGTTGCTTTGATCAAGTAATTAATCACGTCTACTGTTATGCAACTTCAAACACTTACTTGGCCATAGTCTATCTCCAGTGGATAGAACTTATTGGGGTGTTTGGTGAAGTTGGTAGAGTGCCAGGCATTTCCAGTTTTCTCTTGATACAGACTAAGGAAATGGTCAATGGCTTCCTCTTTAGAAGACATTTCTTCTAGTTTGTTACTGCCTATAACTGTTCCGACGCGGCCCCAGGACCGGAAGACCCAGTACCTGCGAAATTAACATAATACAGGGTTAATCCATACATCTATGAAAGAAATAAAAAGTACATATATAAAAGACATTACGTGCTTTGTACTATAAAGCAGAGATGCAACAGGTTAATATGTTTACATACGTTAGAGAAAACAAATGAAATGTATTTCTGAATGTGACTTGTGCACCTGACTTAGAATCTTATCCTCTATGTACAGGAGAACTAAGGCTGACAACAGACAAAATTTGGCCAGTTCAGCATGGATCAGGCGAATTTAGATCAATGCGCGACCGTCCCTGTTCATCGAAGTTGAAGACTAGATCAACTTCTTTCTAACAGACAAGTCTAAAAACTTGTCACTGGATCCCGCTTTCAGAAAGCAAATAATGAAAAAACTACTCAGTTTCATGAAAAAAAAAGAAAAAAAAACTGGCCATCTTTAGACTGGGAAAGGAAGGGGCAACACGAGTCAATTAGATGTGCAGCATGCACAAGCATGGAAAACGAACATGCTGGCACCAGGAAAGAGGATATTAATGGCCTCATCATTCTGCTACTACTACTTTCCTGTAAAATCCCAGACTGGGGATGGGGAGGCAACCAAGATGAAATGCATAACTGTATCAGAACAAAAACCAGGTCACCATTCTGACTAGGCTGTCACTCAAAACAGTGCAAACAGAATGAAAAATACAAATCCTTAGCAGAAAAAACGGCTCTGGAGCCCAGCTTATTTGGTATCCGAACAACAACCCTCGTCCCCCCCGCCATTATTACTATATTACAGAATTGACAACCTACTATTAGCCACTCTTTGCAAGATTCTTCCCTCCTAAAAAAAAAAAAAAAAAAAAAAAATTGGATTTTTTTTTTTTTTTTTATCTTGTCCCCCACATGCTTTGGGTTGATTTGCCAGCCCTCATTACTGCTGTTTTGTAGGGATGTAGGCGCAGGCAGATTAAACCAGGGCTTTAAGAGGGGGACCAGATATGTGGCACTCACATAAGATTCTTCAAAGCAATGGTCTCTTTTCAATACAATTGAGATATGTGGCATGGGCAGCCAGAGGGAATTAAAAGACTTTTCCATGCAGTTTTTTTTTTCCTTTTTCTTATTCCATTTAGGTGATGGCAGGAGCTCCTTCTACTACAACCTGTCTCTGAATTTTCACATCTAGACTTCACCTACTTATAAATCATCTATATTCCAAACACAAGTATAAAAAAAAAAAAAAAAAAATCACTCTAATCTCCTCATTAACCTCTCTTCCAATAGCAATTATCCATTGTAACCAATATGAATTCATTATTAGATACAGACCTGGCATCTCTGTCATGTTCTATCAACTGCAGTTTATAATAAGAGTTTGTCCCTCGGGATATATCCACCAGGCCCAGAGTGGCACTGAAGATCTTGCTACTTTTCTCCAACACATGACATGAATTCTCAAGTCCTAAAAGCAATCAGATATACATCCATATTTACATATTTGTATCAAGTTATTAAAATTTCCATGGCATAAAAATTGTTCCATTTCAAGTCTAGTACAGTTGTGGTAAAGAGTGCTACTCTATGCTCTGTTTTCTTCAGCAGGAAATTCAGACTAGGGTTAGACTACCATGTTTTGAACAGGAAATCAAAACACTCAGGAAAGCCACACTAACCAAAGCACAACATATAAAACAGCATATACAACCCCTTAACATCTATCCGCCTTAACCCTGATTTCCCTCCCAGGATGCACCAAGATTTTTTTATCTAAACACTGGCCATATAAACAGGTCTTGGCGAAACACTTCATCCACAACGGCAAGTTGAAAACACTTCAAGAATTACTTACGAGTCTGGATATCCGCGAATTCCCCTTTTGGGCATACCTCCAAATTAGACACTACCTGCTATCACATAAACCCATTCAGAACTGGTCCCGCCCTCTTACCCTGTTCGAGTCTATTTGCGCTAAAGCAGAACCATGTAAACATTTGATTTCAGAGATCTACCCCCTCTTACTGGAAAAAACAGGACATACAACTCTCTTCCCTCTTGTCGGGCCTGGAATAGAGATTTAGACACTAACCTATCAGACTCCGACTGGGATTTAATCTTTCAGCACTCTCATAAATGCTCCCTTAATGTCTCGACCCAGGAAAACAGCTACAAAATAGCCTCTAGATGGTATCACACCCCTTTGAGGATTCATCGTTTCAATCCTTCCTTTCCCAACAGCTGTTGGAGATGCGGAACTTCTGCTGGTTCGTTTCTCCACATCTGGTGGTCCTGTCCGGCTCTTCAACCGTTTTGGCGAGAGGTTCATCGGCTTGTGGTGTCCGTAACTACCTTGCCCTTAGTTCTTTCCCCAGCTCAATTTCTCCTTCACCACTCTCCCCCTTCCCAGGGGACAATACTTCAAATCCCTGGCCATGCATATGGTCAATGCGGCCAGACTTTGTATTCCTGTTCTGTGGGGCTCCACCCGTCCTCCCTCTATACGTGATTGGCTCACCCGAGTGGGAAAAATAGCGGATATGGAGGAGTTGATTGCAACTGCACACGATACCCCCACGACATTTTCTCACGTATGGGCCTGTTGGACACATTTTCTGACTACTCCTGTTTACCGATCTCTTATGGACCAGTCGGTCTGAATTCAATTGGACCCCCTGAGGGCGCTACTCTCTCTTGCTTGACTCTATGAGGGCAGATTACCCCTGTTTGTCCTCCTCCCCCAACCGACCGATTCTGATGACAGGCTGGAATTTTGTAGGTTTTGCGAATGTATCACCATATGGATTCTCATTTGCCCACCCCCTGTGCTGCTCCTTCCCCCCCCCCCCCCCCCCCCCTCCCCCCTTTTGTTTTTCTTTTGTTTTGTTCTTCTCTCTCTTACTCTCCCCCCCCCTCTTTTTTTTTGTTTTTCTCCGCTCTAAGGCTTCTTTTCTTCATTTCTGACTAACCTCTGCATGCATTGGTCAACTACCCAAAGGACAATTAGCTATGATGACAGAATCACCTCCCCTTTCATACTAGCAGTATACTTGATCACACATTCTCACACCCCGCGCTCAGACGCCTCCACCACTTTCAACTTATAGCACTGACTCTGGCTTAGACGTTGTTTGTGTTCTTCTCCCTGCTGCAGATCCACACTTTGTGACGTTACCAGAGGAGGTCTGGGGCCTCATGGCCTAACGAGTTTCATTATAAGCGTTCTAATGTATTTCAGGCACTACCGTGTCGTGGTTTAGTTACCCCACACTGCTTTGTTTTTGTAATTGTACTTGTTTTCATGCACTCTTGACTGGATGTGTGTGTTGCTAATTGTCTTTCTCACATTTCATGTTTATCTTAGCTTATTATGTCAATCTGTATTTCACAATAAACATTTTTTTGGAAACAAAAAAAAAACAGCATATAGACAAGAGTAGAGTCCAAGGTGTGGAGGGGCTCAGTGTGTAAGCACTATTTTGTTTTTACATACTGTCACCAGTGCAGTACAGCGTCATCATATAACTGGCATGGCGGTGATCAGGGACACTGACTGGTGACAGTATGGAAAAAAAAAAAAAAAAAAAAAAAAATATATTTTTATATATATATATATATATATATATATATATATATATATATTATATATATATATATAAAGTTTTAAATATTTTTTTTATTATTGTTCATTTTTTATTACATTTTTTTTTTTTTTTCTTAAAGATTTTTTTTTTCATATTTCACTATGGCCAAAGTGCAGTATAATGTTACCATACATTTACTACTTTGGGGAAGTGATCAGTATTTTATTTACACAATTTGCTTATAGCAAAGACTTACTTTGCTATAAGCAAGCATTTTACCTGAATGACAGATTCATTCAGGTTTTTTTTTTTTGTGCTTAGCTGTGATTTGGCCAAGGCTAATCACATGACACGTGCATGTGATTCGCTGTGACGATTCACAGCTAGACACTAGTAGACAATGGATGGCATGAATGAAGCCATCCATGGTGTACAACCGTCATGTGACCTGCTGTGATTGGTCACAGCAGGTCACATGGTACCAGCAACGGGGCCGGTACTCAGATCTGTCATCGGCCGTGTCCGAGGTACATTGGTTTTGTTTTTTTGCTATATTATTTTCAACTCACTTTGATTTATTTATGCATTTCTGTGGTTTTAAAAAATGGTGCCTGCACGATCCATACACCTAGGGAAGCCTATTGAAATGAGTGGTCTGTCCTATAGGTGCGCTATGAGAACGCACACGCTGGCATGCCCCTTACACCCCGGTCACGTCAGGTGCAACTTGCAAAATTGTATGCCAAGTCGCACCCTATTGTCCGCTATAACAGCGGTCGTATCGATGCGGTTCTGACTTTGTCGAAGCCGCGCCGACCTCTAAAGTAGTGCACGCAGCAGTGCTTTTGGTGCGATTTGCATAGACGTTGGTGTCAGCAGGTCACCCAATTTTCAAATTGGTTTTGATGTGACCGGGGGCTCAGGGTGTAAGCGAGCGCTTATGGTATTTGTTCCCTGGTTCCCTTTTTGTTTTCCCGAATGAAGGAGCTCGGGGGAGGGGCGCACTTTGGCACCCTCACCTTGAGTGCCAGGGGAGCTTTCCCAGAGCTGGCCCAGAGGTCGTTGGATGGAAACTATCCTCCGCTAGGCGGCTCTTTTTGATTTTCTCGTAATTTTTCCATGCCGGGCACTTTTACAAGGTGTGGAGGGGCTCAGTGTGTAAGCACTATTTTGCTTTTACATACTGTCACCAGTGCAGTACAGCGTCATCATATAACTGGCATGGCGGTGATCAGGGACACTGACTGGTGACAGTATGGAAAAAAATATATATATATAAAAAAAAGTTTTAAATATTTTTTTTATTATTGTTCATTTTTATTACATTTTTTTCTTTTTCTTAAAGATTTTTTTTTTCATATTTCACTATGGCCAAAGTAGTATAATGTTACCATACATTTACTACTTTGGAGAAGTGATCAGTATTTGTTTTTTTTTTTTTTTATTTACACAATTTGCTTATAGCAAAGACTTACTTTGCTATAAGCAAGCATTTACCTGAATGACCGATTCATTCAGGGTTTTTTTTTTTTTGTGCTTAGCTGTGATTTGGCCACGGCTAATCACATGACACGTGCATGTGATTCGCTGTGACGATTCACAGCTAGACACTAGTAGACAATGGATGGCATGAATGAAGCCATCCATGGTGTACAACCGTCATGTGACCTGCTGTGATTGGTCACAGCAGGTCACATGGTACCAGCAACGGGGCCGGTACTCAGATCTGTCATCGGCCGTGTCCGAGGTACATTGGTTTTGTTTTTTTGCTATATTATTTTCAACTCACTTTGATTTATTTATGCATTTCTGTGGTTTTAAAAAATGCTTCCTGCACAATCCATACACCTAGGGAAGCCTATTGAAACGAGTGGTCTGTCCTATAGGTGCGCTATGAGAACGCACACGCTGGCATGCCCCTTACACCCCGGTCACGTCAGGTGCAACTTGGCATGCGACTTGCAAAATTGTATGCCAAGTCGCACCCTATTGTCCGCTATTACAGCGGTCGTATCGGTGTGGTTCCGACTTTGTCGAAGCCGCGCCGACCTCTAAAGTAGTGCACGCAGCAGTGCTTTTGGTGCGATTTGCATAGACGTTGGTGTCAGCAGGTCACCCAATTTTCAAATTGGTTTTGATGTGACCGGGGGCTCAGGGTGTAAGCGAGCGCTTATGGTATTTGTTCCCTGGTTCCCTTTTTGTTTTCCTGAATGAAGGAGCATGGGGGAGGGGCGCACTTTGGCATCCTCACCTTGAGTGCCAGGGAAGCTTTCCCAGAGCTGGCCCAGAGGTTGTTGGATCGAAACCATCCTCCGCTAGGCGGCTCTTTTTGATTTTCTCGTAATGATGAACCATTTCCACGCCGGGCACTTTTACCCCCTTCCTGCCCCGGCCATTTTCAGGTTTCAGCGCTCTCACAATTTCAATGACAATTGCGCGGTCATACAACATTGTACCCAAACAAACATTTTATCATTTTATTCACACAACTAGAGCTTTCTTTTGGTGGTATTTAATCACCGCTGGGGTTTTTTATGTTTTGCTAAATTAACAAAAAAAAGACAGAAAAAAAAAAAAAAAAAAAAAAAAAACACGGTTTTCTTTAGTTCTGTTATAAAAGTTCGCAAATAATTGTTCTTCATAAAATTTAGGCCGAGATGTATTCTGCTACATGTCTTTGGTGAAAATAACCCAAATTAGGATGTATTTTTTTGTTTGTAGGAAAGTTATAGAGTTCACAAACTATTATACTACTACAGTATACTATCAAGTATAATTGAACTCAGAGCTGCAAGGCTAGAGTGCAAATTGCTTATCCACAATACTGCCTGCAGGCTCTGATCTACCGTAATAATGTTACATTAGAGCTTAAACTGTAACTGGTAAAAAAGCAAAGTGAGGAACACAACATGGATGTCAGCAGAAGTATGCAGACTACCTAAAATCACTGCTGATTTAAATCTGATTGTTTTGCAAAATGAATAGTATTCCCACAGATGTGACATTATAATGGTCACTGTGGATATAATCAACAGCTTAATCTCTGAGATGACTGGTTTGGTTTTCACACTTGCATTGCATGTCCCTCTGTGTTTTGGTGCTATAATTAAAATATCACCCAAGAGCTTAAAAGTGAGAGGTGTGACCTATGAGGTATATCAACTATGACTAACTAGCACACGCCAAGGGAAGCAGGGAGCCTCTCAAGGTGTTAATACGGTACTGCGGGACTACCTTTAGGTTTCAAAAAACAAGCACAAATCAAAACACTAAGCAAATTACTTTAAAAAAACATGAGGAAAATAAATTATCTATATAACATGCAGTTCCTGCTTTACTCTTCAAAACGGCCTGCCCTAGTAAAGCCCACTTGAATACTGGGCACTATCTTTATACAGCCTTAAATTTCTATTCAAGCTCACAAGATGATCTACTCCAGCACATAGCTTCATTCTGTATGTCATGTCAAATGGAAGACCCTTTAAAGCCAAGAAAGGCTCTGCCATTTGATAGCTGAAATACTGGGGTAGCAGGGCTAAGTGTCAGAAGGGGGTGGGGCATAACTGGGACTGGGTCTTGCACACAGCAAGGGATTCAGATCCAAGGGGGTCCCACAAGAACACAGAAGAAAATAAAATCAAGCACCTGAAGACATTAAAATGTGCCTGGACTTCAGTGGTACTGTTTGCTTGGGTACCTTTTAGGCCAAACCAGGGTCATTTTAACCACTTGACCTCCAGAAGGTTTTACCCCCTTCATGGCCAGGGCATTTTATTAGCACTGTGCTAATTTTACTGGCAATTGCGTGGTCATGCAACACTATACTCAAATTAAATTTATATAATTTTTAACACAAATAGCTCTCTTTTGGTGGTATTTATTCACCACTGGGTTATTTGCTATATAAACGAAAAAATACTGAAAATTTTGGGGAAAAATAGCCACGATTTTTTATGCTTATAAAACTTTGCAAATAATCTTTTTTTCAGAAATTTTGGCCAATGTATTCTGCTACATTTCTTTGGTAAAAATAACCCAAAATATGTGTATATTATTTGGACTGTGTGAAAGTTAGAGTCTACAAACTAGGGTATACACACTATATTGCCAAAAGTTTTGGGGTGCCTGCCTTCGCACGCACATGAACTTTAATGGCATCCCAGTCTTAGTCCGTAGGGTTCAATATTGAGTTGTCCCTTTGCAGTTATAACAGCTTCAACTCTTCTAGGAAGGCCGTCCACAAGGTTTAGGAGTGTCTATGGGAATGTTTGTCCATTCTTCCAGAAGCGCATTTGTGAGGTCAGGCACTGATGTCAGACGAGAAGGCCTGGCTTGCAGCCTCCGCTGTAAATCATCCCAAAGGTGTTCTATCGGGTTCAGGTCAACACTGTGCAGGCCAGTCAATTTCCTCCACCCCAAACTCGCTCATCCATGTCTTTATGAACCTTGCTTTGTGCACCAGTGCTCAATCATGTTGGAACAGGAAGGGGCCATCCCCAAACTGTTCCCACAAAGATGGGAGCATGAAATTGTCCAAAATGTCTTGGTATGCCGACACCTTAAGATTTCCCTTCACTGGAACTAAGGGGCCAAGCCCAACCACCTGAAGAAAAAAACCCCACACCATAATCCCCCCTCCACCAAATTTACACTTGGTACAGTGCAGTCAGGTAAGTACCGTTCTCCTGGTAACCGCCAAACCCAGACACATTCATTGGATTGCCAGACAGAGAAGCGTGATTTGTCACTCCAGAGAACACATCTCCACTGCTCTAGAGTCCAGTGGCGGCGTACATTACACCACTGCATCCGACGCATTGCTTTGCATTGCACTTGGTGACGTAAGGCTTGGATGCAGCTGCTCGGCCATGGAAACCCATTCCATGAAGCTCTCTACGCACTGTTGTGCTAATCTGAAGGCCACATGAAATTTGGAGGTCTTTAGCGATTGACTCTGCAGACAGTTGGTGACTTCTGCGCACTTCAGCATGTCAGCACCCCCCTCTGTCATTTTACGTGGCCTACCACTTTGTGGCCGAGTTACTGTTCCCAGTTGCTTCCACTTTGTTATAATAAAACAGTTGACCGTGGAATATTTAGTAACAAGGAAATTTCACGGATGGACTTATTGCAGAGGTGGTAACCTATCACGGTACCACGCTTGAATTCACTGAGCTCCTGAGAGCGACCCATTCTTTCACAAATGTTTGTAGAAGCAGTCTGCATGCCTAGGTGCTTGATTTTATACACTTGTGGCCATGGAGGTGATTAGGAACATCTGAATCCAATGATTTGGAGGAGGGGTGTCCCAATACTTTTGGCAATATAGTGTATATTTGATCAATTCTGATTACATACTGTCACCAGTGCAGTACAGTGTCATCATATGATTGATGTAGCAGTGATCAGGGACACTAACTGGTGACCGTGTGAAGAAAAAAAAAAAAAAAAAAATGTATTCAATTCTTTCAACTTTTTTTTTAAAAAACACTTTCACTAACTTTAGCAGTCATAAATGGGTTAACGTTCATGAATAGCTTTGCTTATGGTTGCGGTCTGTGATTGGCTACTACAAATCACATGGTACAAGTAGCGAGGTACCATGTGATTGCTGTGGGCCAATCACAGATCACAACCGTATGCAAGCTGTTCATGAATGGAAATCCATCACGATACTTCGGCAACTCACAGCGTTCGCGGGAGGGAGGCGCGCTAGTGTGCATGTGTAGCTCCCGACCTACAGGTACGTTATTATGCCTATACATGCCATCCACCCACAGTAAAATTTCTATGGGTGGTCTGCAAGAGGTTCAGGACAGCAATCTAGGAGGGCCAAATCTCCAAGCTCATGAAATACTAATGAAACACAAAGCTAAATAAAAATAATTTTAAACATCTGTTTTTGCCATATTATTGGGCATTGTGGGTCTGAAAATTTGAATTTTAACTTTTTTCTAGGTTACTCACCTGAGTCTGGATCAACAGCTGCTCCACCTTTAACAGTTAACTTCATCTTTTTCTCAGACTTGCTGCTCCCTGAAACAAAAAAAAAAAAAAAAAAAGTTGGCTTGTGGGTGGATAGACTTGTGAAGGAATTGCTGTCCTATGATCTAGGCACCACTACCTGCCAAAAACGTTATTCCTTCATTGTTTTGTGTGTTTTGTTGTAGTTCTAGATTTCTGTGGCGGTCTGTCCTGTAATTTAATATCTATCTTGTGGGATTATCATGGATCACTACTAGATGAATGGTAAGAAATCTACTTTGGTGATGAGAAAGGTTGATTACTGGGGTCTTTTAATGGATGTCAGTTTATCCTTATTCAATTGAAAAAAGACCCCCCCCCCCCCCCCCTTTGTTTATTTCCAGTCTTGGGCATTTCGTAATCTATGTCTTGAGTTCTGGGAACACCTTTAATGGTACTTATTATGAGGAGCATTTTTACCTAATTAGGACAGGTATGTTGCTGCTTAAGGCTGCTCATATATCCCTGTGGTTGATGTTGGGTTTTGAGCTATTAATTATTTTGTCTTTTCTAGACTGGATTTTTGTTGTCTTCCTATCCTCTGTATTTTGAATGTACGATTGCAGTTGGTGAGGTCCTGGGCTGATCCTTGTGGCGTATTATCAATTAACTCCTTCTGCTGGCTTTGCAGGTAAGTGAAGTGACATTATTATGTTCTCCTCTGAATATATACACACCTCTATTTTCAAATTATATCTTATTATGTACTATCAAAGCTGCTTTGTGTTTTATTCTCTAGGTAGCCATAAAATCTGTTCATCTTCTGCTCCCGAAGAAGTAAAACAACACGAAACATGTTGCGCTCTGTCTGTATGGATGGTACCACCCTTTGCTATGTATACTAACCAGACAACAATTATACTTATGTGATTAGGAAACAAACAGTTTTTCTATATATTGTGTGTGACCACCACCCTAATCAGCATAAGGGTGCAAGATGCCACTTTGAGTTGCATTTTAATTAAATTTTAATATGTGCAGAAAAAAAAGAAGATTGGATTTTTTTTTTTTTTTAAAGTAAAAGTATGAGGATCTCATAAAGTCCATGGACTGCAGTCCAACGTCTTTCTTTGCTTGTATACCTGCCAAAACAGCCCAGAGATCTAGGATATTTCTGAAGATTACACTGCAGTTAAGCTAAACAGCTTGGTCCATGATCAGTTCCTGCATGTCACAGGACATTGAAGGAGCTGAGTGCGAGACAGTCCCCCACCCCCCTCTTTGTACTATGTGATATGCAAACAGTACAGTATTAAAGTTAAGTCATATATTTGGTTTGTGTAAAAAAAAAAAAAACAAAAAAAAAAAAAAAAAACTGCCATACCCAGGCACAAGGCACTTACCCTGGTCCTCTTTTACTTTGCCAGTACTTTTCCCAAGTCCTGATTTTGATTTTGCCTGGGGCTCCTGTACTGCCTCCTGTTTTATTTCTGCACCCCAAGTAGAGATGCCATGCTGGGCAAGCAGGTCCTGGAAGCTCTTTCCAGACTTCAGTTCATTCAGGAAGTCCTCACTCAACACCCGAATGTTGGCTGCTTTCACTTCTTCCATTTTCTTACTCATCTTCTCCACCTCCTCTGTGAATGTGCAAAGTAAATGTATGGTCAATATCAAAGAACATCTCTGCTATTTGCATCTAAACTGACCACATTTTATAAGCCCAATGCCATGTGACCAAAACAATGGCACTTTGCGCAAAATTGCCAGTGTGAAGGAAAAGCTGGGTCTTTTCCAACTAATATACCTGTGGTAAAATTTAATATAAAAAGAAAACAAGAAGAAATAATAAAAACCTAAAAAGAGAAACTAACTATAGGTAGATCAAAATGTCCAGGGGTCTACCGCTTAAAAAAATCTACACAAAGCTGAAAAGGCTCTCTCTAGCACAGCAGAATAACTCTTCAAGAGGAAGAAAACCAAACCCAAACTTCTATTGATAGGACTTAAACCCCATAGGTATGCCATTACCCAACAAATAAAACAGATACAGTTTATGATATTCCAATAGTCAAGCATGAAACTTTTAATAAATTAAGAAAAGCTTGCAGCCAACTTTGTATTTTTTTACACTATATGGCCAAAAGTGAGTGGACACCTGAACATCACATTCTAAAACCCAAGAAGCTGCCCTGCTTCCTTGCAACTATAAGCTTCCAATTTTGAGGGAATGCCATTCACAAGATTTTGTGTTGTCTGTGGGACTTTGTTCCCAGTCGGCCAAAAGAGCATTTGTGACCTGGAACATTAGAAACTAGCAACTTGCATTTTCCAAACACAATTTGCAGAATACAGACCATAGACCATACAGAACAAACCATAAAGAACATGCAAGACATGGAGACTCTTACTTTGGGTGCTGACGCACACTGTGGCTTTGTTGGCAGATCCAGTTGTTTTTCCACCTAGTTCTTCAATGATCGTCTTCACATCATCTTTGTTTTTGGACAGTTTGCCAAGAATCATAACGGACATATTTGTCAGTGGCTTGCCTAATAGGAAGGTAATTTCACAATTAGCAAAAACATGAGAAAAGAGAGTTTTTATATGAACACGGAAAGGGAAAACTCCCCATTACGGTCATCAGCAATCAGATTCCAGCAGCCATGCTCTCCAGTGATGCATAGATAATGGAATCTATTATCTGAATGGTTTCTTGCAAGACCTTTGATTCAGAAAACTATGAGCTACCAGATCCATGTTTGAGAGCTTTTTGCACACATTTGATAAATCATTTTTACTCACTTCAGTGTGCATGGTGATATGGAACGTGTTGTGTAACCAACGCTTGTGCATGTAGGCACCCCAGATGCATGTTTACATTTGTGTGCGCTTGTACACTGGGGCAGGCTCAAAATGTTTGGGGAGGGGGTGTTTTAAGTGCTATGGTGCGACTAATTCTTTTTTTTTTTTTTAAACGCTTTTGTCCTCTATTTCTATAATATAGGGGACCAATAGGAGAGAAGTGGTGACTACATTACTGGGGTCCATGGAAGCAATCCAGCAGCTGCACAACCCGCTTGCTTGCTTCCACCTGACAGTCAACTTATATTTACATGCATATACATGTGAGTAATACAAAAACGAATTCTCCTGCGCTCTAGGGCTCAGACAGGTGGCGAACAGATGGAACCAGGCCTGGAGGGATCGTCCACCAATGCATAAAGGGCTGTGCGGCTCCAAAACAAGGCTGGGGAAGCTCAATCAACACTGCAGAATGAAATGAAAATGAGAAGCGCACCAACCTTGCGCATTACCTCAGTAACCAAAATGTATTAATTGTAAAAAATATACTCACAAACAGCGAATAAAATCAGGCATGTAAGTCCTCACAGGGACTTGAAGCTAACATGAGTCCCATCAGGGGAGTAGGTGTTCAGTACAGCTGATGCGTTTCGAAGGGGGTCCCTTCTTCCTCAGAGCTAACTGAACTGTGAGTGCTCTCTCCTATATGTACTCCTGGACTGAACCTAGGCCCTCCTCACTGGGTTGGGCAGTCTCAGGTTAGTAGGAGGGGCCAAGATATAGTTTACATTTATCTTATAATTTATATATATATATTATATTTTATATCTTATATTTTACGTTTGTCTATATCATTTCTCTCTGATGGCATTACAAATAGTGATTGTCTGTTGACGATATCTTGGCCCCTCCTACTAACCTGAGACTGCCCAACCCAGTGGGGAGGGCCTAGGTTCAGTCCAGGAGTATATATAGGAGAGAGCACTCACAGTTCAGTTAGCTCTGAGGAAGAAGGGACCCCCTTCGAAACGCGTCAGCTGTACTGAACACCTACTCCCCTGATGGGACTCATGTTAGCTTCAAGTCCCTGTGAGGACTTACATGCCTGATTTTATTCGCTGTTTGTGAGTATATTTTTTACAATTAATAAATTTTGGTTACTGAGGTAATGCGCAAGGTTGGTGCGCTTCTCGTTTTCATTTCATTCCACATGAGAGTAATACCCCGCTGCTGCCAACCTATGACATACGTTGGTAGCAAAAAGGTTTCATTTTCATATTGTACAACTAAGCAGAATACATTCCTAAACAGTAAGGGATTTACACTCAATTATTTGAAATTGAAGTCGAAGTTTAAAAAGTGTGTATATACACTGTGTGAATTATTAGGCAAGTGAGTATTTGACCAAATCATAATTTTTATGCATATTGTCCAACTCCAAGCTGTATAAACTTGAATGCTTATTGGATTTAAGCATATCAGAAAACGCGTATTTGTGCAATGAGGGAGGGTGTGGCTTAAGGAGATCAACACCCTATATCAAGGTGTGCATAATTATTAGGCAGCTTCTTTTCCTCAAGCAAAATGGGCCACAAAAGAGATTTAACTGACTCTGAAAAGTCAAACATTGTAAAGTCTTTCAGAGGGATGCAGCACTCTTGAAATTGGTAAGATATTAGGGCGTGAGTATAGAACCAAACATTTTGCTGTAAACAGTGAACAGGATCGCAGGAAACGTGTTAGAGGGAAAAAAAAAAGAAAAAAAAAAAAAGACACAAAATTGCCAAAAGACTTGAGAAGAATTAAAACGGGAAGCTACCAGAAACCCATTATCTTACAGTGTTGTCATATTCCAGAACTACAACCTACCTGGAGTGCCCAGAAGTACAAGGTGCTCAGTGCTCAGAGACATTGCCAAGGTAAGGAAGGCTGAAACCCGACCAACACTGAACAAGACACATAAGTTGAAACATCAAGACTGGGCCAAGAAATATCTGAAGACAGATCTTTCAAAGGCTTTGTGGACTGATAAGATGAGAGTGACTTCTTGATGGACCAGATAGATGGGCCCGTGGCTGGATCAGTAACGGGCACAGACCTCCACTTTGACTCAGATGCTGGCAAGCTGGAGGTTGGGTACTGGTCTGGGCTGGTATTATTAAAGATGAGCTAGTTGGGCCTTTTCGGGTTGAAAATGGACACCCAAATAAAATCCCAAACCTATAGCCAGTTTTTAGAAGATGCTTTCTTCAAGCAGTGGTACAGGAAAGAGTTTGCATCTTTCAAGAAGATCATGATATTTATGCAGGACAATGCTCCATTGCATGCATCAAAGTACTCCTCTGCATAGCTAGCCAGTAAAGGCCTTAAAGATGAAAGCATAATGATATGGCCCCCTTCCTCATCTGACCTAAATCCTATTGAGAACTTGTGGACCCTTCTTAACGGTGAAGGAAAGCAGTACATCTCTCTGCACCGTGTCTGGGAGGCTGTGATTGCTGTCTGCCAGACTCCATGAATGGAAGGCTTATCTCTGTTATTAAAAATAAGGGAGGCTATATTGGTCACTGAAGTTTTTTTGCTTTGTTTTTGGAAATGTCAGAAATTATTCTCACTTTAACAGATGAAAATAAAGTGAGATGGGACAATTTTCGCTTTTCATTTAGTTGCATAATATTTCTGCACATTAATAGTTCCCCCAATAATTATGCACACAGATATTCTTCTAAGAAAGCCAGAACCTCACTTATATTAAATATTCAGGTTTGAGGTTTATTAACATTTTGGATTGACCTAGAGCACTGTCATTGTTCAATATTGAAATTAATCCTCAAAAATACAACTGCCTAATAATTGTGCACACAGTGTGCATGGAAAAGTCTAATGTAATGTTTAGCACAACCTATCACAGTGCTGAACAATTAGTACAATAAAAAAATATGTAAGGCAAACCAAATACCACCTATGAGGCATGTGATTGGTAAATCAAACCTACGGACTGTATTCATGATAAAGATTAGCCAATCAGATCTCCTCTGACCGGAAAGCCTTTGCTGTTGATTTCCAAAACCTGATGTCATCAATGGGATGTGATTACTGAAAAGGTTTTATTGTGATCTGCATGGGCTATTGGTTGGATTACACACATATGTAGGTGTGCATTGCACGATTGTGGATGTACAGTATCTCACAGACGTGAGTACACCCCTCACATTTTTGTAAATATTTTATTCTATCTTTTTATGTGACAACACTGAAGAAATGACACTTTGCTACAATGTAAAGTAGTGAGCGTACAGCTTGTATAACAGTGTAAATGTGCTGTCCCCTCAAAATAACTCAACACACAGCCATTAATGTGTAAACCGTTGGCAACAAAATTGAGTACACCCCTAAGTGAAAATGTCCAAATTGGGCCCAAAGTGTCGATATTTTGTGTGGTCACCATTGTTTTCCAGCACTGCCTTAACCCTCTTGGACATGGAGTTCACCAGAGCTTCACAGGTTGCCACTGGAGTCCTCTTCCACTCCTCCATGATGACATCACGCAGCTGGTGGATGTTCGAGACCTTGTACTCCCTCCACCTTCCATTTGAGGATGCCCCACAGATGCTCAATAGGGCTTAGGTCTGGAGACATGCTTGTCCAGTCCATCACCTTTACCCTCAGCTTCTTTAGCAAGGCAGTAATCGTCTTGGAGGTGTGTTTGGGGTTGTTATCATGTTGGAATACTGCCCTGCAGCCCAGTCTCCGAAGGGAGGGGATCATGCTCTGCTTCAGTATGTCACAGTACATGTTGGCATTCATGGTTCCCTCAATGAACTGTAACTCCCCAGTGCTGGCAGCACTCATGCAGCCCCAAACCATGACACTCCCACCACCATGCTTGTCTGTAGGCAAGACACACTTGTCTTTGTACTCTTCACCTGGTTGCCACCACACGCTTGACCCCATCTGAACCAAATACGTTTATTTTGGTCTTAAGGACTGGTTCCAGTAATCCATGTCCTTAGTCTGCTTGTCTTCAGCAAACTGCTTGCAGGCTTTCTTGTGCATCATCTTTAGGCCAATTTGATGCAGTTTGCGTCGTATGGTCTGAGCATTGACAGGCTGACCCCCCCTTCAACCTCTGCAGCAATGCTGGCAGCACTCATACATCTATTTCCCAAAGACAACCTCTGGATATGATGCTGAGCATGTGCATTCAACTTCTTTGACCAACCATGGCGAGGCCTGTTCTGAGTGGAACCTGTCCTGTTAAACCGCTGTATGGTCTAGGCCACCGTGCTGCAGCTCAGTTTCAGGGTCTTGGTAATCTTCTTATAGCCTAGGCCATCTTTATGTAGATCAACAATTCTTTTTTTCAGATCTTCAGAGAGTTCTTTGCCATGAGGTGCCATGTTGGACTTCCAGTGACCAGTATGAGAGATTGAGAGTGATAACACCAACATTTAACACACCTGCTCCCCATTCACACCTGAGACTTTGTAACACTAACGAGTCACATGACACCAAGGAGGGAAAATGGCTAACTGGGCCCAATTTGGACATTTTCCCTTAGTGGTGTACTCACTTTTATTGCCAGCGGTTTAGACATTAATGGCTGTGTGTTGAGTTATTTTGAGGGGACAGCAAATTTACACTGTTATACAAGCTGTACACTCACTACTTTACATTGTAGCAAAGTGTAATTTCTTCAGTGTTGTCACATGAAAAGATAGAATAAAATATATACAAAAATGTGCGGGGTGTACTCACTTCTGTGAGATACTGTAATGCTTTAAGTGCACCTATAGCAAGCAGTCAGAATTCTGTGCTAGTTCAGCAGTTATTTGGGAATGGTTGCTAGGTGTTACTGCACCTAGAAGTATAGAGAGCTTTCCCTTTGATTTCTGCCCTGTAGTCACAAACAGAATTGATAGGAAATTGAAATAAAGGTAACATTTAGCTGACACTGGAACAAACATCCATGCTGAAAAAGTTCTCCGCTATTCCTGTTCTAAGAGACAAATTATAGAGAGTGGAAGGCCAAGAAGATGGGCAGAAACATCCAAAAGGTGGAGAAGAACAGAGCTGTAGATGAAGGGACGGGAATCTTGCAAATAAAAAAAAAGCCCCAGGAGAACTCAATGCTTTACCTTCGGGAACTGCTTCTGCTTTAACTACCGGCTTAGCAGAAACTGGAGCGGCGACAGCTGTTGGAGCTACAGAGGGAGGGAAGGCTCTGTCCTGCCTCTTAAACTTGAACTTTTTCAAATATGGAACTTCATGGAACTCCTGGATTAACACAAAGTGAAAACCAAAATAAGATATCTATAAAATTATAGCTAAATAAGGAGTCAATTTCTCCCCTCTTACCTTTGGAATAACCCAATCCTTTCTATTGGGGATTTGTGTTTTAGCAACACATTTGGTCCAGGCACTGATGTCCCCTGTACAGTAATAAGCGTCAGTTTTGAACACAAACTGTCCCTGACATTCCTCGCAAGGAAGAAGAGCACCAAAAGCCATGCCATCAGATACTCTGTCCAGGATCTACAGCAAAGAAAATAGGAAAGTTAGTCTTTGAGAACAAAATTCAAAACTTTAGAAACTATAAAGCAGTTATTAAAACCTTAGATTATGCTCATGGGTGTTTTGCAACATTTCCCTTTCATATGAATAGCAATACACAACTATAGAAGTTTGTAAAAACACCCTAGGTGTAAAAGGTCCCCTTGGATGAGTAAATTCCTTTCTGCCACTAGATGTCCTCAGTCTTCCAGCATTCAATGGTTTTACTGTCAGGGCAATTTTTTGCAGACAATTTAAAAATCATTTTATTATTATACAGGATCTATATAGCGGCAACAGTTTGCGCAGCGCTTTACAAAATGAAGGTAGACAGAGTTACAATACAATTTGATACAAGAGGAAACAGAGAGCCCTGCTCGATAAAGCTTACAATCTATTTTAGGCCTGAAGATTTAAAACCCCAACATTATATATTTTCTGATAACAGACATCCTAGATAATCAAATAGTGGGGGTACCCGAATTTGACAAGTACCCACACCCACTTCTGCTACGATTGCCTAGACCAGGGGTCTGCAACCTTTAAGACATAAAGAGCCACTTGGACCCGTTTCCGAGAGGGAAAAAAAGACTGGGAGCCGCAAAACCATTGCAACATTTAAAACAAATCCGACACTGCATATATTGCAAAAAACTCTCTGGTCATGAAGGGGGTTTAAGGGCCCAGTAAGCAAAGGGTTAATCAGGGCCACAGTGTATCGTCATAATCACAATCATAGCCTTAGGTCAGTGGTGGGCAACCTTTTTTTTCGACTGAGCCAAATCTCGCCAAAACCACGATTGAAATTTATTTTGAGAGAAACATTTTTAAAACTGAAAATACATCCCCCATATAGTAATTCATCCCCCATATAGTAATTCATCCCCCATATAGTAATTCATCCCCCATATAGTAATTCATCCCCCATATAGTAATTCATCCCCCATATAGTAATTCATCCCCATATAGTAATTCATCCCTCATATAGTAATTCATCCCCCTTATAGTAATTCATCCCCCCCTATAGTAATTCATCCCCCCATATAGTAATTCATCCCCCATAGAGTAATTCATCCCCCATAGAGTAATTCATCCCCCATAGAGTAATTCATCCCCCATAGAGTAATTCATCCCCCCTATAGTAATTCATCCCCCCTATAGTAATTCATAGTAATTCATCCCCCTATAGTAATTCATCCCCCCTATAGTAATTCATCCCCCATAGTAATTCATCCCCCATATAGTAATTCATCCCCCATATAGTAATTCATCCCCCCTATAGTAATTCATCCCCCATATAGTAATTCATCCCCCCTATAGTAATTCATCCCCCCTATAGTAATTCATCCCCCCTATAGTAATTCATCCCCCCTATAGTAATTCATCCCCCATAGTAATTCATCCCCCATATAGTAATTCATCCCCCATAGTAATTCATCCCCCATATAGTAATTCATCCCCATAGTAATTCATCTCCCATAGTAGTAATTCATCCCCCATAGTAATTCATCCCCCCTATAGTAATTCATCCCCCCTATAGTAATTCATCCCCCATATAGTAATTCATCCCCCATAGTAATTCATCCCCCATAGTAATTCATTCCCCATATTGTGTGAATTCACTTACCTTTGCTCCGCGCGTTCCTCTCGCTGGGTTCCCGCGCCGTTCTGGTCTTCAGGGCGGACTGTGAGAGGAGAGGAGTTCGTCACGCTGCCCCGCCTACATCCGGGCTGCCCCGCCTACATCCTGACAGCCAATGTTTGCCAGCGGGCGCCCGGCACACAGAAGATCTGCATTAAAAGAGCCGCGGCTTGCCGACCCTATTGCCTGTCACCTGGTGGGCAGTGTGCTCCGGAGCCGCAGGAAAGGTGAAAAAGAGCCGCATGCGGCTCCGGAGCCGCGGGTTGCCGGCACCCGGCCTAGACAATCACACCTGACTCGATTCCCCCTTCCATGCACTCGAGGTGGATGGGGGAATCCTCCCTGCTGAGCCTTTTTATTGTAACGGTGGGAAGGCTATAGCAGTCCCTGCTGAACCAGACAAAATTTGGATCCATGTATTGCCAACTTTAGCTAGGAAAGCCAGTGTTCTAATCTGGTTTACAACTGATAAGATCTGCCAGAAGAGACAGGGATAATTATGGTTAATATAACTGTCCACAGCCCCATCCTTAACTTTACAATGAAACAAAAGAATGCTAAGATTTTTCAGCAAGAATTAGTCAAGCAGCAATGGTTTGTGAATGGGTACAGGTAAAGCCTAGTACACATGATCAGAAAATCGTCCGAAATATACCGTTTTCAAAGTGATTGTATGATAGTTTGAAATTATTTGAAGGGAGAAGCACAAAATTATTTTTTTTGTACAATACCAGATTGTACGATTTTCATTTAAACAGTAAATACAATACAAATACATTAGATCATTTCCGAATTTTCTTTTGGTCATACAAGAATTTTCGTAACTTTAGTAACCTCTTCACTTTTGATATGAGACTAGCATGCGCAAAAAACAAAACAAAAAATGGACAATCATTCATCCAACATTCTCATTGTGTGTACAGGGCTTTACAAATACAAAAAAGGCATTGTCCCAAAGTGGCTGCAAATGTAGAAATGCACTATAAATTCAAAATAGTTATCCAGTACTTACATTGGTTTCTCCAGATGGCACCTGCTGTTTGTTGGCTATAAGAAGCTCTTTCAAATCGTTGGTGCTGCAAACTTTCTTCAGTTCATCTTTTATACTCCAGACAAGCTCTGTTTGTTCCTGTGTCAAGGTAAAAGGGAAATGAGGAAATGAGGGCTTAATTGCCATAATTAAAAACATATAAAGTAGCTGTCTAGCACATTATGAAAGACTTACCTGAGAATGAAGCCCTCCAGCGATGCGCTGTCACCACTGCAGAGGCTTCCATCTTCGCCCGGTTTTCATTCCGAGTTCCCGGGCTCCGGCCACTTGAATGGCCAATACCGCAATGATGTCACTCCTGTGCATGTGTGGGAGCTAAAGGTGCGGCACACAGCTCTGAATGAACAGCACGGGTATGCCATTCCTTCAGAGCGCATGCGCAGGTGATGTTACTGGCTGCCACTCACTAAAACATCTCCTAAACGGTGCAGATTTAGGTGGTATTTTTTACCTACAGGTAAGCTTTATTAAAAGCTTACCTGTGGGTAAAAGTAAACAAAAATTGAGTTTGCTACCACTTTAAAGGAGGATAAAAATTATTGTGCGTTTCAAACTGCTTTGCACAACTGCTGCTGAGAAAAGTTGGAAATTTTGCTCAATGTGAGCACAATATAGCTGACAATTTAAGAGCACATCAAGACCACAATACGTATATATATGTTGTGGTTTTGAAGTGATTTACCAGGGCCATGGGTGCAGCTGTCAGCCATTACCCGGTATTAAAATTCTTTGCAGCAGACTCCCTTTTAGCAAAAAGCAAGCTGAGAGACAACACCCCCCCCCCCACCTCTCTCTGGTGCAGTTTGTTTTCCAGGCTTACCCATCTCACCGGGAAGCCTAAGATCCGATCCAGCTGTTGCAGCTGCTTACTAGTAGAATGTAAACAAGGCCATTTTCTTTTTGGGAAAGTATCAAATTAATGTTTATTTTTTTATTTGATAATTTCAAGGGTAGAGGAGAGATCTGGGCAGCAGCAAGGAGATGTTTCCTTGACACTGGATGGTAGGGAAGAATAAAGAGCACAAGTGACACTCCACCCAGCAAATGACATCAGCGCTCAGATCCACTGCATTAACCCCTCTAATGGTAGAAACCAGTAAGAAATGGGGAATTGTTAAAGAGGCCCAGCGACATGTGTACTTAAGGTAGTGCCCTGTGCTCGGACTGACCTGACCTGCAATAGAAGAGGCAAGCTCTAGCAGTGATGTAGAGAGTCTTGATTGAAGATGAAAAAAATCTTCAAGAGTAAGAAAAAAAAAGCTAGCAAAATAGTTTTCCCCACTTAACAAAAGACATCCTAGGACATTAGGGAAAAAAAAAAAAAAAAAAAAAAACAGACAAGATGTCAGTAGGAGGGGTTATCCTGGGTTACCATACAGTTTTTATTTGCCAGCGTCCAATCTTCTAGTAGGCGGCAGTATAAACCAGAAGATGAAACATTTCCTGCATCTCTCAACGAGAAAGAAATTACCTTTAGCCTACAACAACCACCAATTTAAGTTTGATCCATAATTTATATCTTACCTTTAGCAGCTTTTCAAGTTTAGATTCCTTTTCCTTTTCTTTTTTTAGTTTCTTTTTGGACACAGCAGATCCGTCCAGCTCATCCCCTTTTCTCTTCCTACCAAAGAAAAAAAAAAAAAAAGAAAGAAATGCATCTTCTTTTTTGAAAATACCCATTCTGAAGAGGCTTTGATGATATATGTGGTCTGGCTTGAAATACAGGAGTCTGGATGGAAGTGTTTTAATAAGGCGTATATTGGCACTCTATAGTTAAGGGGTCAAAGGATCTGATGATCCTTCAATTTATCTTCACAGTGGTGCAGTGTTCACGCTGGTGGCTATAGTGGAACGAAGAGCTGGGAATGTTCATCACAAAAGGCGACTGTTCTATTTACCCTATAGGGACTGGCACATACATGCTAATTAACCAGGGAAAGGGGGAAGCACCATAAAGAGCCAATCAGCTGTGCTGTAGTGCAAACAGCATGCTGACTGTAATGTAGCATATAACAAAATCAATGTGTGCAGCTCCTTCTTTCACTGTCCATTCACAGTTGTAGGTGGGAAAAACCTGGAAAGTAAACCTTAATTTCATTAGTGAAAGTCAGGTAACTGGCTATGTAGCAGACCTGTTTAAATCTCAGCACTAGATGGACAAATCGTTTGCAGCAGTTATATGTATTTCATCTGTGTATTTAGATACTTGGAGTCCAGCATTAAAGTGGTTGTAAAGGCTGTAGGTTTTTTACCTTCATGCATTTTATGCATGAGGTAAAGAAAACCTTCTGTGTGTTTTCTCCCACTGCTGTCAATCACAGCCAGTGGGGGGTTGCAGTGTGGCATCTGTTTTTATGGATGCATAGAGCAGGGCTCAGGAGGCAAGCACGCACCAATGCCCCCATGACAGGCAGCTTGCTACTAGGGGCACCACCGCCAGAGGACTTAAGAGGATCAAGGCTGCTCTGTGCAAAAACATCACAGAGCAGGTAAGTATAACGTGTTTGTTATAAACAAAAAAAAAATAAAACAAAAAACCTCCACACCTTTAATATCACTTTAATGCTGGAAAATTGGTAGACAATCACAGGGCCCTAACTTGTAATGTGAAATATGATCCCATCTGCACTATATCCCCAATTAGTACATCTGCTTGGCAAGCTGTGAGGCTTGTTATCTCTCAAAATGGATATTAACTACTCTCCAGGGTGGAACATTACAAGGTATTAGTGCCTCAAAGGCTAATTAATACAGTCATTAATAAAATCTACTATCAACACCTTACTGAAGTGATGATGTGAAGCAGCTGGCCTGTCATAAAGCTGAGAAAATAAACACTCATAAATAGAGGGGGCAGCACTGACCAACCTGGAGAGGCAGAGTCCACAATCTCCATTAACTGCACAGCAGAACCTTGCAACCAATCCCAAGCCTGAAATTGTCTCCAGCAGCAAAACATGAACTAACAGTAAGTCTTGGATAGTGTATTTAGATTTTCAGCTGAATTATTTCTGCATGTTTTATAAGCTATAGAGGCAGAATAGCTTGTGTTTATATTATCATATTTCCATTACTGTTGCCAGCACGTGACTTTACAAGCAGATCAAATATCATTCTAGTTAATTCTCAATAAAGGCAAAGCTTCCACACAGGAGGATAGTCAAAGTGCACCCTCACATTTCACCTACAGAATCTTAGAGGTCTTTAATGCATAACTATGGGCAAAAAAAAAAATAAAAATAAAATATAGGGGGTCATCTAGCATACCAGTCATTGGTTTACACAGCTGTTTGTTTCTTTCCTGAGTCCCATTTTAAAAAAGTTTAAGTACCTGTGGATCTAGCCAGTAGATCCTTTGTTTTTCCACTTTAACTTAGCAGTGAAATTCAACAGAAACATTGGCACCCTATAAAGACAGCGCAATCTCACATGCATATATAGATTTAAGAGGACCTGAAAGTGGTTTGTAAGGCAAGATTTTTTTTTTTTTACCTTAATGCATTCCCTGCGTTAAGGTAAAAAATGTCCCAGTAATTGTGTCCCCCCTTGTATTTGCTGCTGTCATTCAAATTCTGTGGGAAGGGAGCGGGGCCAGGCAGCGCTGTGTGTCTCTCTATGGATACACCCAGCTCAAGAGCAAGCCTGCACATGCTCCACTCCACCATAGTAAACTTATTGCTATAGTGGCACATGCAGAAGAGTCTAGAATGCCATCAGGAAACCCCAGAAGAGGTTCTTGGCTGTTCTGTGCAATACCACTTTTTTTTTTTTAGATTTAAAAAAAAAAAAAAAAAACACTTTACAAATTGCTTTAAGTAAGCAATAGAGTTAAAGTAGAACTCTGGGCAAAACTTCCCTTTTCAATTTGCATAGAGAAAGGGAGGGTTGGAACCCCTGTCATATTTGTTTTCACCATCTTGGTCCCATTGCAAAGAGTTTGCCATTCGAAGATTTCCCCTTTATTACCTTTCTGGGGACAACTCAAAATTTTGGATTTTCTTTTACTTTCACATGGTAATAGTAAACAAAAAAAAAAATAGAGGGGAGCACAAACAGCAATACAAACAGGCAGGGATTCTAATCCCTCTCCACCCTATCCAAAACAGAAAAAAAAAAAAAAAAAAGTTTTGCCTTTAGTTACACATTAAAGGATAGCAAGCACATTTAAAGCAATTGCAGTAACTTTTTTTTTCTTCTGGAGAAAAGGTTTAGCCGAGATAAATGCAGACAGTTTTAAGCACTCGGGGCAGTAGGACAACCCAAATAAAAACAAACAAACATTCTCTTGTCCCAAAATCCCACATGCATATTAATTTTTGGAGAAGTAATAAGAATAAAAAAAAGAGCAGCCATTGAGTATTTTCAGTGTGTATACATTATAGTACATCTCAACAATACATGCATATTTCCCTAAGGTTTATCCCAAAGAAAAAAAAAAAAAATCACTGACCTGCCAGAAATCTATTTTCCTAATTTAGGAAATGTAGTGAGCCAACAATAACTCTGCTTCACTAGAATAATAAAAATAATTATCAGCCCAGCACAGTTCACCACTGCTGGACTACATCAATACAGCTCCACTCATCTCCTTGAGTTGAAGGTGTTCTGTAGACCAGCAGAGAATAACTTGGCTGGACTGACAACACTGCTTCCGATTGCAAGCACAACAAACATGTCATACTTACCTGTGCTGTGCAACGGTTTTGCACAGAGCAGACTGATCCTCTTCTCAGGTCCCCTGCTGACACTCCTGGCTCCTTCCCCTTGACCAGTGCCCCCAATAGGAAGTCGTTTGCTGAGAATGGGCAAGCAATATTTGTTTTAATTGTAAATTACACCCCAGCTGTAGAATTCTTTTCCCACAATAAGCTGCAGCGATCTCTCTCTTCTGTGTGAGTGCAGCAGTCCTCTAGTGGTCGGACACAACTGCTGCTGAGCCAGACCTACAGCTCTCCAATCAACTGTTCAGGATTGGAAAAAAAAAACAAAAAAAAAAAAAAAAACTGGGATACTAATCTCTTGCTAGTGTGGTTTAAAGAAAAATTATCACTTTTTTACATTGTTCAGTTCCTGATGGAAGAAAGCACATTGCCCTGTAACACTAGCTGCATTGTTGACAATATCACCCAGGGCTCCCC